CTGCAGTTCCTACTATCTCTGAGCTGGGAATGCTCTTGCTTTTGAAGTTCAGTCGAAAAACTTGTTTAAACTTAGGGGAGTAACTTTTACTTTGATCTGGGTTGGAAGTTGGGAATCTGACTGATCAAAAGTTTGAGGCACATGCCTGAACATATACAGGTTTATTTGGATTGCAGTGTGTGTTTTTAAGGCTCCTAAATGGCATGCAGAATATTCACACACGTCTCAATTTGAAATGTGATTCTTACCATATTGGATGAGGTCAAGTTAGAGGTACTTTTCACCCATGCTTGTAACAACGACTCACCCTGTCAAAATGAAATCCAGGCATAATCTAACAACTGGTTCAGGTACCTCTTCCCAACTTGCATTGCCATAAGGCATCCACTCCTAAATATGGCTAATATAAAAATATCCGAAAGAACTTATTGTTGTTGCTGGCATCTTTGCCATCATCTTGATTTTTGCCATTCTCAGTCCTAAGATCCCTGAACTTGAAGGCTCTCGATTGTTCCCATCAGATTCAGGAAGACCTTCCTCTCGAGGAATTGTCCTCCTTCCTGATCCCATCCTGCAATATTTGTCCCCCCTCCCTGCTCTGACCCTGATCACTCCCTGATCCACACAATTCCACTCCTGAGAACCAACCTCCTGTGAGCTGCTGCACTAGCAGAAGCACTTAACTCATATTTGCTCACTTGTACACCACACCATCTTCACTGGTTTTACCTCACTGAAATGCGAACAGTCCCCTCCCTACTAAAGGAATGGAGAAGCTTGATGAGTGCTTGTGAGAAAGACAGGCTGTCCAGTTTCAATGTGGAGAAATATTACATCACTTGGATTATTGCAACATGCAAGTAGATATTGTCAATGTGAGTCAATTCTGGGACAACAAATGGTAATAATGCCACTAATCTCTAGAGGGTTTCTAAGATGAATTTGGATGCGTATCATAGCATTGTTCCTCATTAAAGTAACTTCCACTCAATAATAAATATGGAAATGCTGGAGAAACGTAGCTGATCTGGCAGCATCTGTGGAGGGGGAAACTGAGTTAATATTTCGAGTCCAGTATGACTCTTCAGAACTCGTCCTGCATTTCTTCTGGGAGACATTGTGAGGTCCAAAATACTGTTAAAGGATCATCTTTAACAATGGACAGTAACGCACTATTATGAATTCTGTGTTCTTCTGTCACATCTTGCCATGTGTACCAGGCACAGACTTGAAATACTGATGAGATCAGATCGGTCCTTGGTCTCACAGCAGATCTGCTGTACAGTCTAGTGGTGGTGCACATCTTACTCACTTTGTTGGGAAGTACAGTCCTTTTAATTTTTTGGCTTTTCACCCACAGACAAGAAGGCAGCTAGGTAATCAGCTACCAGCCTTTACTCCTCAGTCCTGTTCTGAGCTAACTACTATAAGTTAGGAGAACAAATGACTTGGAATCACAACTTATTATTTTTCCAATGGGCATCATTACCATGTCAGCCAGAATCTGGAGTCAAAATACAATGACTGTTCTTACAAAGCTGAAAAGAAGTACAATTTTAAATGTATCAAAGTGAACATAGAACTTTAGCTACCAGCTGAAGTTGGACCAAATTGTTTGCAATCTTGAAGTGGTACATGATCCTAAAGCTTGGCTTTCAACCCTATAATTTTACCATCACGAGGCCATGTACTTCCATCATGTTCGCCCTGGCCTCAAGACATCTGCTGCTAAAACCCTCATCCATGTCCTTGTTACCACCAAATCTGACTATTCTAATGCTCTGGACAGCCTTCTACCTAACACTCTGTAAACCTGAGCTCATCCAAATCTGTCTGTGACTTAATTTGCAGCAAATCCTGTTTACCTCTGTGCATACTGCCGTACGTTGACTCTCCGTTTGGAAATGCTTTGAATATAAATTGCCTTATTCAAATTCCTTCAGCCACTCCTAATCTCTGTATCTTCCTCCAGCCCTGCAACTCTCTCGGGGCTCTTATTTTCCTCCAATTCTAGCTTCTCATGCAGCCTCAATTTTCATCACTCCACCATTGTTGGCTATACCTTCAGCAGCCTAGGCATAAGGCTGTAAATTTTGGAATTCCCTTTCTAAACCTCCTATAAGACTCTCCTTAAAACCAATTCCTTTAATAAAGCTTTTGGTTCCATGTCTTGATGCCTCTACCTGGATCACTGTCAGGTTTAGTATGAAAATCACTTTGGCGAAGCCTTGGAAATTTAAATTTGTGTATGAGGTGCTCTGAACAAAAAGTGAGTTGTTGATGTACCATGAGAAAGGTCATTCATTTGTAATCAAGCTCATAGATTCGACAGGTAATGCATAAAGTGTTCTCCATCCAATCCATTTCAGCGCCTGGGAAAAGAATTTGAATCTGAACTTCCTCTTCCTTGTAATTACTAAAATAAAGACAAACGCAGTATATATTTAGTTGCGCAGCTTACATTATACAATCTGAGCTAGGTTATGTTAATTTCAAGACCTCAAAAATATTATTTAGTTATTCCATGAGTTTCACTTTCTATTCATTAAATAGAAAAGGATGGACCCTGGTTAGTTCAAAACAGTTTACAGAAGATGCCAGTTTAAGTGAATTTTTTTTAACAGTCAGGTATAGCTAAGTTTCTATAGCATGCAGTAAGCACAGTTTGGTCCCTCAGTGTGAAATGGCAGCCATGGTAAATTTAAGAAAAAAATTCAATATTAATGTGAAAGGCAGGTAATATTGATCCATAGAATTAGAAATAATTATTAAATCATTGGTAACTTTCCTGGTGTCCGTGAAGTTTGGGTTCTGTTAGATCCCTCAGTCTGTTGTATATGGAGCAGTGGATGCAGGATCAGTTGTTAATTTTAAATCTGAGATAGATTCATTTTTGTCAAGGAAAGTTGTTAAGGGATATGGGCCAAAGGCAGGTATATGGAGTTAGGACACAGATCAGCTATGATCTCATTGAATGATTAGCACGCTCAAGGGCTGAATAGCCTACTCCTGTTCCTATGTTCCTGTACAATCTTCTAACCTTAACAGCATTTAGATTTTCAAAAGATTTCTCGGGTGTTTTTAAAACCAAAAATGTATGAACAAAACCTATTTTCCTTTATTGCAAGGATGAATATAACAGTCAGGAGGAAGCAAGGATTGTGGAAAGGGAACAGATGAACAGAAATTATAGCCAACTGGTTGATGAGATTGAACTCCTTCGTGTACAGTCTGAAAGGGAGCATCTAGACACACAAAACCTTAAGCGAGAAATTTCTGCGGTCAGAAATGAGAACCACCGACTTCAGCAGGTGGCAGAGGAGGAGATCAAAAAAAAGAAATCAGCAGAGCTGGATGCTAGGAGGTGGAAGAAAGAATTTCGCAAACTCACTATGGACCAGCAGGACAAAGTACGTTCTCACTGAATGACCATGAGCTAAAAGCGGATTTGCTAATTTGCATGAAAAAAATAATAAGGAAGATGTTTGAGTTATAGGCTATAGTTATAGTTTATTTATTGCTAGTCACTGCTGATTTTAATCTTCAAGATAAGTGGGGTAAGAAAGTATGATAAAATTTGCAATAGTTACACCAGGCCATGCAGAAATAAATCAGTCCCCATTTTAAAGTGTTTTTTTTTTTGGTTTTTATGTTTATATTATTACCATAAATTTCTCTGAACGAATTTAGAATGGCAACTTCCTATGCAAAATTCTCAGTGCTATGCTTATATTTTCCTGTCACCTAGTGAGAATTGTTGTGTGTATACTTGCCTTTAGAAACCTTGACCTTAAAGGACACCACGTGGGTGTACAATGTGCAACTAACCTACGCTGCACACGCAGAAACCAGTTGCTGTGCTATATTGTCTGTTTTTAACTTATGTATTTTGCTGTTTTAAATAAACTAAGCCATGGACCTAATCAGTCCTGATTGGTTATTAGACTGGTATCATTAACATGATAGGAAGATGTCATTTTACCATTTTACCATTTTACCATGTTGTGGACATTATCATTTACGATGGAGCCGCAAAAAATTGGCGTGCAAGTATGAAGTCCTAATTTTCAGTTATGTTGAGAATTGGGAAGGTAGGAGTCAAACTGACCTGATGTTATCATCTTGAAACCTGAGCAGTTTGAATTCTCCACCTTATCTCCGTAAACCCGCTCAGTTACTTACCTGAAGCTCGGAAACAAGGTGGGATTAATTAATATCCTAGTAAAGGATTCTCTAGGGAAGAGTGATCATACCGTGCTAGAATTTCAAATCCAGTTGGAAGGTTAGAAGCCGGTGTCTCAACAACAATCTGGAGTTAAACAAAAATAATTACATTGGCATGAGGACAGATCTGATCCTAATGGACTGGGTAAGAAGATTAAAAGATACCACAGTTAATGAGCAGTGGCACATGTTTAAGGAGATACTCAATTTCTCCCAACCAAAATATATTCTAGAAAGGAAGGAAGATTGTAAGAGAGGGAGAAAACATATATGGCTGAGCATACTATATTGTAAAGGTGAATGGCAGGCTGGAAGATTGGAAAAACCTTTAAACATCAATAAACAGTTAGTAAAAATGTCATAAAAAGAGCAAAAGTTAATTATGAAAGCAAACTAGTGCAAAATATAAAAACTGATAGCAATAGCTTCCATATGTACATTAAAGGGAAGAGAGTTACTAAAGTGAATGTAGGCCTTTTGGAGGATGAGACTGAAGAGTTAATAGTGGGGAACAGAAATGGCGGAGCCATTGAATTATATTGTGCTTCTGTTTCACAGTGGAGACTACTAATACCTTCCTGGTACTAACAGGTAATGCAGAGGCTATAGAAAGGGAGGAGCTTGGAGCTACCATCATCACCTAGGAAGAACTACTGAGCAAACTATTGTGATTAAAGACAAACAAGTCCCCAGAGCTTGCATCCTAGGATCTTAAAGGAAATGGCAGCAGATATAGTGGATCCATTGGTTATAATATTCCAAAATTCCCTGGATGCTGAAAAATTGCTGTGCGACACCGTTATTCGAAAAGGGAGGGAAGGTAGAAAACAGGAAACTACAGGCCAGTTAGTTTACTGTCTTGTTGGGAAATTGTTTGAATCTATTATTGAGGAAGTAATAACAGGACGTTTGGAACGTCAAAATAAAATTCATCAGGGTCAACATGGTTTTGTGAAAGCTAAATAATAATTTGACTACTTTGCTAGAATTCTTTGAAGACTTGATTTAATTCATTGTCACATGTATTTAAGTACAGTGAAAAGCTTTGTTTACGAGCAGTACAGGCAGATCATCGGGCGAAAGAAAAGTTGGATAGAGGCATACAGGTTTCATCGCACAGGGCATGCACTAGGCAAGATCAACATTAACAAGATCAGCGTTATTTGAAGTTCGAGAATCGTTCATCAGTCTAATAAAGACAAAGAACAGGCTGTTCTTGACCCTTCTGGTGCATGTTCAAGCTACTGTATCTTCTGCCTGATGGAAGAGGTTATCAGAGACCATTACCGGAGTGGGATAGGTCTTTGTTGGCAGCCTTTCCACAGCAATGAGCCATATAAATGGAGTCCATGGATGGAAGGTTGGCTTCCATGATGGTCTGGGCTGTGCACACAACCTTCTGTAGTTTCTTACAGTCCTGGGCAGAGCAGTTGCCATACCAGGCCATTATGCACCCGGACAGTATGCTTTCAGTAGTGCATCTGTAAAAGTTGGTGAGAGTCATGTCAAATTTCCTGAGCCACCTGAGGGAGAAGAGGCATTGTTGTGCCGCCTTGACCATCGCATCTACACAGAAAGTCCAGGACAGATTGTCAGTTATTGTCACTCCTAGGAACTTGACGCTGTTAACCCTCTCCACCTCCGCTCCATTGATGTAGATGGGGGCTTTTTCTCCTCCTTTCTTTCTGAAGTCCATGATCAGCTCTTTAGTTTTGCTGATGTTGAGAGAGAGGTTGTTATCATTGCACCATGTCACCAAGCACTCTATCTCCCTTCTATATACTGCCTCGTCGTTGTTTGATATTTGTCCTACCACTGTAACAAACAATGTGGATATTGGAGGTCCTGTAGATGTAGGGTATCAGAACTTCTAGAAGTTATATGATAACATGCTGCACAAAAAAGTTAATATACAAATTATGACCACTTGGGGTTAGGGGCAACTTATTCACTTAGATAAAGAACTGGACATCCAAGAGAAAGCAGCGAGTTGGGAATAATGGGTCTTTTTCTGGTTGGCAAGATGTAACTAGTGGGGTACCACAGACTTTGGTGTTTGCTCTCCAACTGTTTACAATCCACATTAATAACTTGGATGTGGAGATAGAAAGTACTATAGCCAAATTTGGAGATGACAAAAATAGGTGGGAAAGTAAGTTGCAGCTAAGAAATAAGAAATTTACAATGGATACAGGTAGTTTAGGACATGGGCCAAAATCTGGCAGATGAAATTTAATGTGGATAAGTGTGAGGTTATCCATTTTGATTAGAGGAGTAGATAGGAAACCTGTTATCTAAATGGAGAGAAACTTCAGCATGTCTTAGTGCAGAGGAATGTGAGTGTCCTTGTTTGTGAGAAAGCAGAAGACTAGTATGTGGGTACAGGTAATAAAGAAGGCAGATAGAATTTTGCCATTTGTTGCTGAAGAAATAGAGTATAAAAGAAGGGAAGTGTTGCTTCAACAGTACAAGGCATTAGTGAGACCACACTTGGAATATTGTGTACAATATTGGTCCCCATACTTGAGGAGGGATGTAGTTGTATTTGAGGCAGTTCAGAGGAGATTCACTGGATTGATTCTAGAGAGGAGAGGGTTGTCTTATGAAGAGAGACTGAGCAATTAGATCTTTACTCTGCTTGGAGTTCAGAAGATGAGGGGAGATCTAATTGAGGTGTGTGATGCTAAAGGGATTGACAAAGTAGATGTAGAAAGGATGTTTCCTCATGGGATAATGGAAGGTCATAGTTTTAGGATAAGGGTGATAGCATATTTAAAATGGATGAGGAGAAATAACTTCTTTCAAAGGATTGTAAATCTGTAGAATTCACAACCCTAGAGTGTGATGGATGCTGGGAATTTAAGGAGGAGATAGACAGTTTTGTTAATTTGTAATGGGTTGAAGGATTATTGAGAGCAGGCGAAAAAGTGTTGTGGCCAAGATGAAATCTGTCATAATCGTATCAAATGGCGGAGCAGGCTCAAAGGGCTGAATTACCTGCTTCTACTCCATGTTCTTATGTTCCTGTCTAAGAAGGTGCAAATTGCCAGTGGAGAGGGATCAGAATACCAGCTGGCAGGGAGCTGATGCACATTTGCTGTTCACAGGAAAAGTGGCTGTACAGACACTCAGCAGTACCAAACAGATGAAATTAAGTCTGTAGAAAATAATCCATTGTTGTTGTATTCCCTGAGCAATTGCTGTCTGAAAGCTACTGGGTGGAAGAGTATGGTTGACTTGTTTCAGTTAATAGGGCAGATGCAACAGTGTGTACTTTGTACCAAGAATGAAGACAAAGGCATCAAACACGTCTGTAAAGCTTGAGGCTTTTACCGGTCCCATAGTAATGTCGCTATTCCATGCAAGGTTCCAACTGGAAGGCACTTCAGGAATCTCAGAAAGCTGTGCAAACAGTATCTTTAAATTGATAAATGTCTGAGAGAGAGATTCACTAACTTGGAATGAAACCGTGATTTAACAGTAATCGAACCCAATGGCACTGCTACATTTTCAAAGGGTTAAGGCGTATTGAAATGCAGCAATTTGATCTTCTGACCATCTATTTCTAGTCCACTTCTGGCTACACTGATGCTCCCCACCTTTGTACACTGTTTCAGATACGACAGCTATATCACTGCTTGTAAATGTGTTAGTGAGAGGGTAAAGTGCAGTGCTGTACTGGTTTGTTCAGAGCTATGGGTATTAGTGGGATGTTGCACATCCAGACTACGGTGGCAAAAAACACAGAATATAATCTGGGTTGGAACTCCAGCACTGCACTAGCAAAGCTGTCTCCTTTTGGATAAGATATTAAACTGACACTCGATCTGCTCTCTGGGGTGAACGTACCCAATTCTATGGCACTATTCATGGAAGAACAAAGGAGGTCTTCTAGTGTTCCGGAAAAAATATTATCGCTCAACAAAAATTACCAGAAATTATTATCATGCCACTCATCTCATCCTGTTCATTGGACATTGATGTATACAAATTTGTTGCAACATTATTCTACCTTCTAGCAGTGAATACACTTCAATCATAAAGACCTTGACGTGCCCCAAGGTTATGAAAGTCATATATGAACACATGGTTGTTACTGGACAGCAAGACTATGATAACAAGTTAAAGTGTGAGTTTTCAAGATGTTAGCATTACAGGGCTTTCAGTTGTATACTGTAGTTTAATT